GGTTATGAAACGTATATGTGCACGATCCTTCGCAGTAAAGCACTATTTAAGCAATAGTGAAAATCAGACCTGAAAAAAATTCAGGCCTGTACGGGATTCGAACCACTAGTATCGCAGAGGTCAGTGGTTCGAATCCCGTACAGGCCTGAATTTTTTTCAGGTCTGATGTTCACTACTGCTTAAATAGTGCTTTACTGCGAAGGATCGTGCACATATACGTAAAATTACATTTACTACTATCGTGATAAGATGTGAAGTTTTCCATGTTTTCTAGCTTTTGTGACAACTGACTTATAAGTGCTTTATTAAACACAGTTTGGTAGAAAGACCCAGATAACCTTTGACTATTTGGAGACATGTTTGTTCCGAATACCATTTTACACTGAGGCACCTAAGTTAGCTATTTAATCTTAAGTCATAGAGCGGGGGTCGTTAGCGAATAGCAATATTTTATAAGTGTACTGTTAGATCTATTTTAGAATATGCAGTGGTTGCTTGGCAAGACATCCCTGAATATTTGTCATCCAAATTAGAAGCTATACAAAGGAGAGCCCTTACGGTACTTTTTCCGGGTGTTACTTAGGAGGAAGCCCTGACCATATCTGGCCTCCCAAGCCTAGAAGTTAGGCGAGAAACATTACGTACGAAGTTTATTGCGACATGGAAACTCCGCCCTCAAGCTAATGTTTATAATGTTCCTTATAATCTTAGGTCTGGGCGTGAAAAGTCCGTTCGCCGGGAGGCAAGAACCAAGAGAGCTAGTGACTTTATAACTTTTAGATTTTTAGATTATTACGTAGATTATACATTACTATACTTTAATTAGATTTAACAGTTTTGTAAATGATACCGCTTGATAATTCAGTTTGTACATAGTTTCAACTGCAAAGAATGGATTTTGGCAGTATATTGGATCAACATAGCAAAAATGAACTGCTATAATTAGCTCACGAGGGTCCTCGAAAACTTCTTGATTCCTCAAAGATAGTTGGCCAATTAATTTTATGGAAACATTCCCCTGACAAATCTGAAGACTTCAATCACCTTTCTCCTTATTTACCAGTCCTGCGGTGGAGCTTAGTTTGTCAAGAAGGTGTCTCAGATCAAGAAGCCTGTCTGCACGTACAAAACCGGTTCTAAAATAAACACAAAATGCTGGTGTTTGACTGATCTATTACCTCTTAATCGATATTTATTATCTGCCAGAGATAAATTCTACAGACCCAATAATACAAAAGTTCTGCTCTAAAGATTGAGAAACAAGTTCGGGAGATAAAGATAAACATGCAAGGATGTCCAGCTTCAAAGTCAACTGTTACTACAGCCTTAACTGAAAAAGTACGTAAATGTAACACTTAAAAATCCACACCACTTTATTAGAGAACTGTCTGGAAATGTGCTAGACATTCAACCATGATCATCACCATAGGGTGTATGCCTTTCTCTCCTCCTTATTCTTTTCCCTACTTTGCATCGGTCAAGAAATTTAATTAATGTTAGAACTTACACTCTCAGAGGATTGACAATTAAATCTCTCAGAACCGTCTGTACTTTTTCATATTCCTCCAGATCACCATCTCTTTTTTCACGATGCAGCAAGGTGTCAAAGACACTTGAGAATGAAAACATACTGTAAAGTGTGGCATCAAGGTAACATGAGTTATGGTGCCCTTGGAGACCACGCATAGTGCCACAGTGCAATTCCTCAAGCGTTTTAGGAGGCTCGGTTATGCCTTCAATTAAAGGAGAAGGCATGCTTCCAAAATCTGAAATCAATTGATCGATCAATCAATCAATCATTTAATTCAACACATGATTTGCACTGAGAGCACAGAGTAGCCACTTTTCAATTCAATGCAACACATAAAAGTTTGCTTATTTGTCAATTGTCTTGTGCTGTCAAGTGTCAAATGTCCATATCCTAGCATTTCTATGTAGCGTTCTTTTTATTTATTTTAATTTCTATATATCACACCCCTGTGAGTGGTCTGTCTTTGTATAGATTTAAGATGTCTACAACAGACTAACGTTGAAGTTCTTCCTGACGCTGTCTTTCTCTTCTCCATAAGTTTAACAACAAACGCTAATCACCTTTCTCAGCTTCAAAACTTTTATCTTTAGATGATGTGTTGGAAAAACGTGAATCTGGCCGACAATTCTCCACTAACACAAAGAAACCTCTTCCTGCTGGGCAAGTGAAGTATCTCCTTCCATAAAATGTGCCATCAGAGCATGGAGACTGTTCCTCTTCCTTAAAGAAAACAGAAATGTTATGAATATAAATAAGTACTGTACGTAAATCATAAAAAGCAGTGCTTGACAAGCACAATAATATTATTGGTGCACTAGGACCACCCTACATAATACAGTTCTATTACTGTAAGTTCATTGTAACAGCTATAAAAAAAATTATTACAAATAATAAACACTCAGTTTTCACATCATTTCTTTAATTTTCTATTTTGAAATGGTCCAACACTTCTCCATTAACTTCACCCTTTTGTTTGTCTCTCGTTACGTGTCTCTTCCCACAATAAGCTATGTTGCACAAAGTCCTCAAGTGAGATCACACAGCAATTGACCATGAGAATTTAACCAATGCAGTGCATATGGCCCTAAAATGTCCTCTCTGGCTTAGTTCTTTTTTGAGAAAAGCAGAATGTGCCAAACAAAGCTTTGACCTTTCTTTGAAATGGATCAACACAACTAAGAAACAGGCTTTTTGTCCCTGGCTCCTTCCTCTTTTGAACAATCTTTTGAAGGAGTTGTGGACCCACGTGGACTAGTAGTCATGAGACCACTGTTTTTAGAATGAGGCTTTAAGTCAAATATTAAAGAAACACGAACCATGGTTGATCTCAAGGTACATGTACTCTAGCATTTCTATCACTGAAACAGAAGAGGGTTGCTCATTCATTAGAATAGGGGTGCTTATTACAAAAAGCCAAAATTGAGGGGGGTTATCATTGGAGAGGAGGTGCTTACTGGAAGGAGGGCACTAATCAAATCATTATGAGTTCTGATGCATTAAATACATGCTAACTTCTCTTCCTCACAACACAAATACATTTTGAGCAAACAAGTGTCGTCACTATTTTTTGGGAGTTACGTGACATTTGTAATTGACAACCTCGTTTTGAAATTATGTGAGCCTTCTCTCAAATTACATTTTTTGTGGAGAGAGATTTGTGAGTGTACACAACATTTTGTGAAGATTAAACCTTTAATTTGAGAAACTTTAGTGAGTTATTTGCTGTCTCTGGAAAGAAAAATTTTGTTTCCCACACAGTTAGATATTGGGGTACATCATGAATTAAGAGGGAAATGTAGAGAAGCTAGGGGCATCCCTAAGCAAAAGAAGGGAGTTAGAAAGTTGTGGTAAAAAAGAGTTTTCTTGCCATTGCTACTCATTTAGCTTATACAATTGCTGGTCCTTGACTTAGGGTGTCCTGTGCAGTTTGAAAATCTTTGGAACTTAAGTTGCTCCTTGATGCATTAGCTAACACTTTATTTGTGTCAATTTAAACTAGTCTTAAATATATTAGGTCTAGTTCTTACCAGTTCCAGACCTGCGACCAGCTTTCCTTTCATCTCTGGTAGATATCCAATCCAGCGAACAACACCATACCTGGGAAGGCCTACATTGCTCATTGGAACTTCTGCCATGGATCCCACTTCCAATCCATGGGGAATGTTTCTCATCAATTGGCTACTCTCAACTGTAGGTTAAATTTTGTTATCAACTTAGCACAGTGCAAATGAGCACATCTGTAATACTTAATTTGTGCATGTAACTAACAAGTTTCAAAATGATATACATCCAAACCAAACCTGATTGTGAATCAGCTGCTGAGTGCAACTCAGTAATTTGTGCTTCTTTCATCTCTTCAGAATCTTCAGGCAGTTTGTCTACCTCCATTTCTTCAGTTGCAACTGCAACACTATCAGCAACTTCTTTTTCTGAGAATTGATTTGTATGTCCAACTGCACCTTTCTCAAGTTGCATGGCTTCTACACTACATCCTTCTGAGAATACTGATGAAGCTGAGGGAGAAGTGAAAAACTTAAATCATCTTCATATTGAAAAAAGGGCAAGAATGAAAGGGATCACTGCTTAAGACACACATATTCATTTTAATTCAAATCAATTTGGTTACTATCCACTGAGCACTTTGCACAAGTCAGAGCGTTAACGAACATAATAATGAAGTATGTGGTTGTTGCACCATGACTTCTTTTATACATGATTGTAGCCCAGAGGTGCCCTGCATCCAACTGATAATCAGCAGATGCGAGGTTTGAATCCTCATTGGGAGAATTGCATAATTCTGAAAAATGAAAATGAGTTTCAGTTCAGTCTAACCTTGAATAACTTAATTTGGTCAAGTTAATGCTGATTATAAAGTGGGACAGATCAGTTTTGTCAGCCATACTTAATCAATATATCACAGTTATTTAATGTGTAGTTAAGAGAACGACCATGTCTTCAAACTGCAGAATGAATAAAGTAACTTATTGATAATAAGTTAAAAATTTTAAATACTGTAAAAACGTGTCATATTGGACTAGCTGATACTCTTGTCTAGCAGGAACAAAACTCACTGTTACCTTTAAGAATTATAACAAACTCACCATCTTGTCTACTTTCACTCTTGCTGAGTTCATTGTTTTTCTCAATGAGACTATAATCTGAATGCAACTTCTTTTCTCTCTCTTCAGTAAGATCCACTTGGTATAAACCAGGCTGCTTTGTAATTGGCCTAAAGGTACTGTTTGGAGGTGTGTTCTTGAAATGATTTTCTTGAAAGTTTAAATTGCTATCATTGCTAGTCCTATATTCAACGTGCATATGAACGTCATTATCCTTATCTGTCTCAACTAGGTTTGAACTTTGCGCCTCTTTTAATAACTGACGTTGCTTTTCAATGAACTCCTTTGGATCAGTTTTGCTAGATTCTCCAGCAGCTAAGATAACTTCAGTTTCTGCTGCGTCAAATGAGTTTGCTCTTCTTACTTTTTTGGAAGATTCTCTCTCTGCAAAAAATTAATGAAGCAATATGAGATATTTCAAAATTTTCACCATCTAATTTTAGAAAATCTCGTGCCAACACTATAATTGGCACTAAGAAGGTTTTGATTCCAAGTATAATACAAAATTAATGCCTGCGTAAAGATATAGAGATCACTTGAATGTCTATTCTTGTAAATTCTCTTCTCCTTCTCATTCACCTCATTGTTCTTATCATTATTTCCATCTCTCACAGACCTCATATCAAATTCCTCATGTCACCAGAATACAAAACGTTGCTACTTTTCTTTACAAATTTTGCATTGTAATTGTAAATCAGGAAACAAATTGCCTATCAGTGCTGATCGGTACTCATAGATGTAGCATGGATGTAACATACTTAATAAAATATTTGGTCTCGTGAAGTGAGGTAGACCATTTTAAGATCTATGATTTAAGGTTGTCAAATGGTGACTTAAAACAATTTAAGCCATCTAAGGAACATATGCTTTGATGAAATTAACAAATAGAGATGGCAACTGGAGGGACTGCATTTACAATTTACATTTATCAGCAACAAGGATTTTAGGAAGAATTTACCTGAGGGTACATTTAAATAGCCCAGTGACTTTGCATACAATTCATTTCGGTCATTTTGCTCTGCAGAGAGATCCTGCTTCTCTGTTTCCTTTTTTGGAGGTTGTTCAGCTTCCTCATCAAAGTCTTTTTCCGGCATAACATCTTCCAGTGGAACAAATATGGCATAATCTCTTCGAGCAATAAACTTTTGAGCATGATTTCTTTTACCAGTTCCCTTTCCAATTCTTTCATCCTACAGGTGAGAAAATGAATTTTTATCCTAATATCATATATATTTTCCTTAGTATTGGTTGTAGCTCAAAAATAACTTATAAACTTAGGTAAGAGGTGTGCTTCAGAAACCACTTGATTTTCATCTCACCATTAAATCAGGACACCTACTGTTCACAACTTGAGATTGCAAAGAGTAACCAAACTTTTTGAAAATTCTCAGGGCTCTCCCTGAGTTTTTCATAGGAGGTAAAAATAACAAATAACAAGAACCAAATTTCTTGGTTATAAGGCACTCTTGGTTTTACGACCTACCTTGAATTTTTAAATCATCTGTGTGCATGATTTTTCTGAGAATTACACTTGCAGATCACAAGATGAAATTCAATCAGAGTATTTCGATCCTGTGAAAGTCAGCATTCATGTGTCAATTGTCTATCGCCATGCTGATATTGACATTGATGGCAAAGCAAGTACAGAACAAGACCCTGTCCTCATCAAAGAGCACATCTTTGCCCTTTCAGAAGACAACACTCAAGACTACCATTTTGTACACCACACCCAAGGCCTAATACTGACGTACCTTAGGAATGAGGTCAAAGTGAAAGTAGACAAAGTTCATGAATTCACTGATGGGTGTGCTGGACAATACAAATCTAAGCACACTTTTGGTGATTTGTCATGTTCTTTGTCTGACTTTGGGTGTCAGGTGGACCGGCATTTCTTTGAAACCTCTCATGCAAAAGGAGAGCAAGATGCAGCAGGTGCTAATGTCAAACAACGTGCTACTCTTGCTGTGATTCGAAGAGAAGCATCCATCAAGTCTGCAAAGGAGCTCTATGAGTATCTGAAGGACAAGTTCTCTTTGCCATCTTCAACCAACAGCAAAACCACCTTAAACAAGAGAGTATACTTCTACATTCCACTAAATGGAGAAGGAGCTGTTGACAGAAACAGAATTGGCCGCACTTTTAAAGAGCTAAAAGGGATTAGAAAAATCCACTCTGTAAAAACAACTTCTCAGCAATGTAAGGTGAAGACAAGGCTAAGAAGCTGTATGTGCATTGGTTGTTTAACTGACATGGACTGTGAAAATGAGGAGTATGTTGATAAGTGGAGAGAGGTTGAGATGTCAAGAGAAGGAGATGTTGCAGTCACAAGGCAGAATCAAGACTCAGTCAATGTCAGTAAAACAGTCAATGCACTCACTGATCTTGTTGAAGAAGGAAGTACTGTCGCCATTGCAGCAGCTGATGACGCCATATATGATTACTACCTCTTCAAAGTTACAAGCAGTGGTGCCATAATTTTGGGTGAAGATGAAGTTGATGACTATAGTGCTGCTTATCAGAAAGGTTCCTTTGTCTTCAAGGGTAACTTTTTCCTAAGGGACAATATTATAGACATGACCTACAAGCTTGACAATAAACAAGCTATTGTGTATGCAAACACTGTCAGGACTATCTGTGGAGAACTCAAGAAATTAAATAGGCGTAGAAATGTATTATTCCAGCTTTTACCCAACCAGCATGAGGAAATTATGTCTTCTTTTTAGTTATGTAAATAAAACTGTGTTATTTCTAAACAGAATCGTGAATTTAAGCCTGCAAATGTGTAAATAGAATATATGACCACGCCCGCTATGCATTCTGGGTATTAATTAATGAGGATAATTTAACAGATAACATCAAATATTTTCTCAAAAAGTAGTTCTTACAATAAAAGTTTATGAATAATCTATGTTTTGATGATTTTTTGGTAATTTTATGAAGTTGCTAGTTTTTCCCTAATGTTACGCATTTGTACCCCTGGATCTTGCAACTGATCTTGATGAAATTAACAAATAGAGATGGTAACTGGAGGGACTGCATTTACAATTTACATTTATCAGCAACAAGGATTTTAGGAAGAATTTACCTGATGGTACATTTAAATAGCCCAGTGACTTTGCATACAATTCATTTCGGTCATTTTGCTCTGCAGAGAGATCCTGCTTCTCTGTTTCCTTTTTTGGAGGTTGTTCAGCTTCCTCATCAAAGTCTTTTTCCGGCATAACAGCTTCCAGTGGAACAAATATGGCATAATCTCTTCGAGCAATAAACTTTTGAGCATGATTTCTTTTACCAGTTCCATTTCCAATTCTTTTATCCTACAGGTGAGAAAATTAATTTTTATCCTAATATCAATTATATTTTCCTTAGTATTGGTCGTAGCTGAAAAATAACTTGTAAACTTAGGTGAGAGGTGTGCTTCAGAAACCACTTTATTTTCATCTCACCATTAAATCATGACACCTACTGTTCACAACTTGAGATTGCAAAGAGTAACCAAACTTTTTGAAAATTCTCAGGGCTCTCCCTGAGTTTTTCATAGGAGGTAAAAATAACAAATAACAAGAACCAAATTTCTTGGTTATAAGGCACTCTTGGTTTTACGACCTACCTTGAATTTTTAAACTCGTTTCTTTAAAGCTGACAAACTGAAAATTTTGCCTAAACACCCGGTTATGAGAAGCAACCTCACCTTTGGGCTCTTTCACTATCTTCACTTTCAAAACAAGAACCTTTTCAAAGTTCCCAATATAGTTAGATGCCTTTTTCTATCAAAAGGCAAAGAAGTTACACATTTGCACAAATAAAGCAGACTCCCTCCTCTCCCCCCCCCCCTCCACCAATAAAAGAGATATAGATAAATGTAGATAAATGCTATTTGCCTTCTTAGGAAACAGTGTCACTTTCTCAAACTATGAGTACTTACTGATCCAGTTTATTATGACCATGCAAAATCAATCTTATGATCTGTACTTTAAGTTGAAAATAGTATTGGAAGCAGAGGAAGTGAACAACAATTGGGAAATTGTACTGTGAATCCAGACACCACCAAGAATGCAGGTCTTGGTATGCAAGAAAGGCTGGATGGATGAAGAAGTTATTTGTCTTTTCTTGTTTGTTTATCATACCTTTCAATCAAAAAGTTATTCAACACGGGAATTTCCCAGAATTGTGACATCATTCATAAAATGTTTCCAAAGCATGTGCACCTCAATTGTTTTTGCCCTAGGGCAAGGCCTAATCAAAGTTGTTTCTCTCTTTTTCATATGTAGGAAAAAAAGACTAGATTTGGAAAAATCGTGGATTCATGCCACACCAGCGAGCACTTTAGGTTTGGAATTCTTTTAGTGGTCATTGGACCAATGCCGTTAAGGACCTCCTTGCAACACAAATGTTGATGTTGCTGTTATTCCTGCTGGCCTGATGCCAGTTTTGCAGCCAATAGCCAATACTCCTTGCCTTTTGTTTGTTAATCTTTTGTTTTATGCAATGTTAAAGTTAGAAAATAGGACATTCCTAGCTTTTGTTGCATGAAAATACTTGACTATAAGACACACGCCAAATCTGAGACAGTTGAAGGGTGATCACGAAAAATTTCTTTGAAAATTTGATACGCCTTAGGACTGAAAAAATATGGTAACTTTGTTGTCTGCCCCCCTTCGCAAGGTTGTGGAGGCCATATAGAATGATAGGGTTTGCATTTGGTTACAAAAAAGGGAAAAAGAATATGGCTCACATGATGTTTGAGATTTGACCTTGAAGGGTGATTACATGCAGGTAAAAAACAGGTATGCTATACATGCCAGAATTATTTTTTGGATATGTGAGATGAAAATGGTCACTTAAAAACTGATGTTTGCATTTTTTAATAAAAAAGAGAAAGAGCATCAACTTTCAAATGATATGAAATCAAGTTTGATAAAGAATACAAAGAAACTCTCCAATCCCAATGTAGAATGGAACTCTAATTTCATGTCATGATGGGCCCGAGGAACAACATTCTGGCACTCTGATTGATGCAAGCATACCCTATGCAGTGATCTGATTGATGTGAGATATGTAACCAAATGCAGGGATCTGATTGGTGTTAGATACGAACCCTAATGTGATGATCTGATTGATGCCAGATACGTACCCAAATGCAGGGAATCTCATTGATGCAAGATCAATACCCAAATGTGGGAAATCTGATAAGGGCAAGA